TAGGCCGATGCAATTGCTGCTACTTGTTATACTCAAAACAGATCGTATTTGAACAAGCGTTTATCTATCACTCCCTACGAGATCTTGAACAATCGTAAACCGAATGTGAAATTCTTTCATGTTTTCGGTTCCAGATGCTTCGTGTTCAACTCCAGAGAGAATCAAAACAAGTTTGATGCTAAGGTTGATGAAGAAATTTTCTTAGGCTACTCCCTGAACTCCAAGGCGTATAGAGTTCTCAATAAGCGCTCAAAGAAGATTGAAGAAACATACTATGTCACCTTTGACGATAGTTATGTTAAGAAGATGAAATCAACAAAAGGTGCAACGCAAGAGATATTTTCAAAGAATTGTCAAGTTATGACCTCTATCTAAAATCTTTTTGAGCAATACTTGCTTTTGTTTGATGAGCCTCAAAAGGCAATTGATTCTGAATCAAAGGCAAAAGACAACAAGGTTGATAATCTAAAACAATTTATCGACGATGCTGCTCAAAAGATGGCCGATGATCAATCTAAAGAAACCGAAAGGCCAGAAGCAAGCGAACCTACAAGTGACCGTCCTAATGTCCAGGGGGAGGGTCCATCTCTGTATCACGATCAAGGTTCATCGTTCCAGGGGGAGAGCTCATCGTTTCATTCTTCCAACTCTTCTAAAAGTCCAATCAAAGAAGGGAATACCAATCCAGGTACCGAATAGGCGTCATTCTTTGAGGGGAAGAACACTAACATCAATAATGATGACATTTTATCTGAATTAGAAGAAATAAATGTAGAGTTGGATACCACTTATGATCCAAATTACCCACCTCTTATCAAATGGACCAAAGATCACCCTCAAAGTCAAATTATCGGAGAATCTTCAGAAAAGGTGTTAACTTGATCACAAATCAAAGCGAAACAAGATGCACTCTTTTCTCAAGTAGAGTTTTGTATGTTCAACTCCTTTGTCACCAAAGTCGAACCGAAGACCGTTAACTCTGCACTTGATCATTCAGATTGGGTTCAAGCCATGCAAGATGAGTTAAATGAGTTTGAAAGAAACAAAGTATGGCGTCTTATTCCAACTCCAAAGGATGCTTCGGTTGTCAGTCTCAAATGGGTATTCAGAAACAAGATGGACAAGGATGGAAATGTCATATGTAACAAAGCACAGATGGTGGTCAAAGGCTACTGTCAGGAATAAGGCATCGATTATGAAGAGACCATCGCTCCAGTTGCAAGATTAGAGCATGTTCGTATATTTGTTGCCTATGCAGCTCACAAGAACTTTGAAGTCTATCAGATGGATGTCAAATGTGCCTTTCTCAACGGGGAATTTGAAGAGACTGTATATGTTGAGAAACCGCCAGGTTTCATGAACAAAAAGTATCCAGATCATTGTTATGTCCTTGACAAAGCGGTATATGGCTTAAAACAAGCTCCCAAAGCATGGTATGAAACTCTAACTCGATTCTTAAAAATGTCTAAATTCAAACAAGGTTCGGTTGACCCAACCTTCTTTCGTAAGAGAGAAGGTAACCACCTTATGATAGTCCAAATTTATGTTGATGACATCATCTTTGGCTCCACGAATTCTAGCTTAACAACTGAATTCAGGAAGTTGATGGAAACTAAATTTAAGATGAGCTCAATGGGTCCAATTAACTTTTTCCTTGGATTAAATATTAGACATGGACCAGAAGGCATTTTTATTAATCAAGAGGCATACACCAAGACTCTGTTGACTAAGTTTTGTATGATGGGTGACTCCAAAGTTAAAGTGCCAATGGCCTTTGAGACAAAGCTTACACCCTCACTGGAAAAGCCAGCTGCAGATATGACGCTATACCGTCAAATGATCGGTTCTTTAATGTATCTCACAGCCAGCAGACATGACATCATGTTTTCAGTCTGTTACTGTGCAAGATTTCAAGCCAACCCACATGAACCTCATCTGCAAGCCGTGAAAAACATCTTTCGCTATCTAAAGCGAACATCCTTTCTCGGTCTATGGTATCCAGCCAATTCAGGGTTCTTTGTTCAAGCATTCTAAGATGCTGACTTAGGTGGTTGTGGTCTAGATCGTAAGAGCACTACTAGAGGATGTCAACTTCTAGATGGAAAATTGGTTAGTTGGCAATCGAAGAAGCAAACTTGTGTTTCTCTCTCCACTGCAGAAGTTGAATACATTGCTGCAACATGATGCACATCTCAAGTGTTATGGATACAAAGTCATCTTAGGGATTACGGGCTAAATATGAAAAAAAATCCCACTATATTGCGACTCTGAAAGCGCAATTAGGATTTGTCACAACCCAGTGCAACACTCGAAGACCAAGTATATAGCACTGAGGTTTAACTTTATCAAAGATCACGTCGAAGATGGCAATGTAGAAATCCATTTTGTCAGAACAACTGATCAATTGCCTGATATATTCACTAAGGCTTTACCTCAAGCAAGCTTCAACAAGATTCTACAAGGCCTAGGAATGATGGAAGCAGAATTAGTGCCCAAATCGCCTTCACTTCAATAAAGGTTAGAAGCGAAATAGAGCGAACCGAAATGAACCGAGGGTTCGGTCTATTTCGGGTTCGATCTATTTCGGGTTAGGCTCGACCAAGAACCAAAATGAACCAAACGTTCGATCTATTTCGGGTTCGTTCCTTCTGAACTTATTCGCTTCTTTTTGCTTCCAAGGCATTTTGGTTGTATTCGTCTGTACACTCCTTTTAATTCTATTTTATTCATAAAAACCAAAAATATTTTTCTCTTTCGTTCAATTAAATAACTTTCCCAAAATACAAAAATATTTTATTTTATTTTATTTTTATTTTTGTTTTTATTTTTAGTCTAATACTTTTCTTTGTATAAGTGTAATTCTCGATGGTGGAACTCAAGAAGGTATATATATTTTATTTTATCCCATTAGTTAGGTGTCCCTAGATGCATGCTGCTATATGTTGACTAAAGCCTCAAAAGATTTTGAGTGAAGCCTTAATAACATGATATATACAAATCATGTTTTCCCAATTCAGGCTATACTATTCACTCTAATCATGAGCTACCTTACTCTACTCACATTAAGTTCAGAGTTTTCTGCTTGTTCACTCTTTTTCTTTAAAGCAGAGGTGCATTCGCTTCTTATACCATCTCCACAATTTTTCTCCATTATACTTCTTGTCAACAATATAACCCCTGAGACTCTCTGCATTTACCACTGAGGTTTATGGTTATACAAAATCCGTGTTAATGATCTTAGTCTCATGCCACTATGTACTAAGTGAAACCCACAATTCAACACCACAAATGAATTGACGGTGAATTTTCATATTCAAGAGCTTACTTGTTACCTAATGAAATCTCTTTTTATTTTTGAGTGATCTTTTATTAATTTGTATAAAACCAAGGCTTTTCTTCCCTTAAAGATCTAGTTTTTTTTTTTTTTTTTTTTTTTTTTTTTTTTTTTTTTTGAGATTTCTATAATTTCTTTTGTCACTATAACAAATATCCTACCTACTTGTTCAACAGATCACAATGATCTCACAAGTACTTTATTCAGTTTTGGTCTCATGTCGAGTATCGAAATTATGAATTGAAGCGAAAGCCACCCTTTATAACCTTTAAAAGATCCATTTCAATACTTCTTAACAAGTTATTGATCGTTATTTAATGGGAAACCAAGCAAGCACTTCAATGTCTCTCTTGAATTTGAAGGAAGTGATTCGTGCCTATAATCCATTGTTTTATGTCTATTTAAGGCATCACAGATTATCCCAAAATATTTGCTTTATTTCTTTATCTTTCTCACTCTGTGCACTAAAATTTAAATTTTCCACACTCTGGTTCTTTTAACGGGGTTCAATAAAGCATCATAGGCAACGACGATTCAAATGTTTTAGGAGTGACGATTGGGATAAAGTGGAAGCTGATTCACCGTTTATCTAATCGGTTTGGTAATTTGAAAAAGCGAAATTTATGGAATGGCATGCCAAGAAGGAAATGTCCTTTCTCTTTCCTGCGTCATCATCGGTCTGCCAACTGTTCACCCGTCAAGTCAGGCGCTATTTTTGAAATAATCCATGATCTCAGCTGGATTTTTCTCTCTCCTCTTTGTACGTATAAAAGGAATTGGAACGATAATCTTTAATCTTTATCACTTCCCAAAATTCTCTCAAAGAACAACGGCAATTTCTCTTACTGTTCATCATCGTCTTCAAGCTACTACAATGGTAGACTCTTTGTCCGTTCATGATACTTCCGTTCGTCACCCACTTCTCACAATCAAACCCCAACAGAACCTGATCATCGATATTACTCTGTTTGTTTATGAGCCATACATGCTATACGTTGTTTAGTGTCTCAAATACTCACCTCTCGTTGAAGTGCTGACCAAATTCGAAGTCGTACCAATGTCGTGCCTTTCTCTTGTGTACTCCACTCCCTACTATGACAAGGTTCATGAAAGGATTCACTTTCAAATCCACAATGAGAAGACCTCTATCTCCAAGCACCTCTTATGTTCCCTAATTGGTCTTTCTTAAGAACAATCTCCGGTAAATCCTGAATCCATCACCACTGGTCAATTGTTTTCTATATTTTATCAGATGGGATATACCAAAACCCTCACCACATTCACAAAGTTTAAGAAGTCCTGCCTTCCTCCTCAATGGAATGGCCTTTTCACGTTGCTGTTCAAGGGACTCTCTGAGCGAAGCGCTGGCTCAGATGGTGCAAGCAAGTCTTTTATGACTATGTTGTATGGGTTGTACCATGGGATCGACTTGGATTTTGGAACTATCATACGGAAGCAATTGGTACAAAGCTTGGTCTCTTCATCAAGGCACTCTGAGATCTCATGTGCGCGCTTTTGGTCAATCATCACCAACTGGGCAATGGACCGCCTTCATGTTCCAATCATGGAGGACTCTCTTCTCTCCTCTATTGCTACCTTTAACACAACCAAAATCATTGTCACCGATCCCACCAAGTACTCATTTATTGAATCTATTCCAGAAGCTATGCTCGCTCCTATCTTTGCGTCGATTGACGTTCTCCAACAATACAGGAAGCATCCATCTTCAGGTCCAAGGGAGCTTACCCCAACCATGGTTGGCTCTATTGAAGAGGCTGACAAACCTGCGAAAAGGGGCAAGAAACCTGAAACCCACAAAGAGGCACAAGTTTGCAAACCAACCAAAGGGAAAACCGCTAAGAAGAGAAAGTATGATAAGGCCGTTACATCACCTCCTCAACCGAAGAAGCTGAAGAAGCCTGCTAGGAGGCTTATACTACAATCCTCGAGTGACTCAGATTCAGAGTATGTTCCTCCCCAACATAAGAATGCTCCTCCTTCAGAATCTGAGAGTGAAAGCTCTGATGATGAGGCTTCGGGCCGAGGTGATACTCCGCCTCGCTCCCCTACACTAGAAATTCCAGTTCACTCTCACCCTCCTTCACCTCCACCTGTAACCATCCCAGTATCTATCCCTCCATTTTCCCATTCCAACCACTCAAACATTCACTATAATTCCCATCCCTACTCCCCTATTCGCAGACACTACCACAACAGGTGCTCATTCTATTGCCCCCACTCCACCAGTAACAACCGAACCACCTGTCACAACCGAACCTCCAGCCACAACCAAACCCTTATCTCCCTCTCAATCCACAAAAAACAATCATTGTTCTGGGTGGTGAGGACTTGGAATTTGATTAAACATATTTTAGTCCTTACTGTGTCCAGAGTGACGATGATGATGATGCGTCCGTTACAAAGCGTCATCTCAAGGTAGTGAATGAAAATCTTGATCAATTGCTCTCATCCTCTTCCTTTGGAGCTCACTCTAAAGATGCTTTAAAGGCCTTGTTCTCATCTATTGTTAAAGAACACATTGTCTCACTCTCTACTGCAGCCAAAGCCATTGAAGCCTCTACTTCACAATGTCAACAAGCCTCACTTGCTGTTGATGCTTCTACTAAGGAGTGCAAGGAAGCGACCGCAAAAGTCGATAAACTAGTTTATGAAGCTCAACTGTTTTTAGATTCTTTGCAGGCAGCTGCTAAGAAGAATGCTCAAACCGTCAACGCTTCGATGGATAATCTTCAACGGTCCCTTCAGTCTGAAAGATCCAACCTTAAAGCTACATGCCAAGCGATTGAAGCTGCAAACGCGTCTCTACATGCTAATGTTAATGATCGCCTTACTCAACTTGAGGCTGAGTTAGCTGTAGAGAATCGTATCATGGATGAACTAGATAGGAGAACCTCACAGCTAAAAATGCAAAATTACAAGCTGCGTACTGCTTCTGCTGAGCTCAACGATCTGAAGTTAGAAAAGGAGGTTATTCGGAGTTCTGTGGCTGATGTTCACTCCATCCTCCTTCATCTCCTTGAAGCGCACGATCCAATCATCACCATTACAACCAGACAACATCTGGCTGATAAAGTTAGGCCATCATTGGACATTCAGTCGTATTGAGGGTGTTCCGATGACTGGTGTCCAGCCAAAACAAGGGGGAGAAAAGCAAACTCAACCTCCTCCTGGACCGAAACCATCTACTGAACCGTAGGGTAATGAAGCTTCGGTTAGTAACAAAGGGAAAAAGAAGAAGAAGATCAGAGAAGATGACACAGATGATGAGGATGAAATCTATGCTGAGAATCCTAAAAATCCTTTTCAGAAGGTAAATCTCTCTGAAAAAGAGCTGGAAGAAAAACTCAAGAAACAACAGGCTGAGCTCGAGAAAAAGAGAAAGGAGACGGAGCTCCTGGAGAAGAAAAATTCCATGTTTCTTGTCTCGACTATAGTTTTTCTTCAGAGATGCGCAATCGATGAGCAAAGCATACTTTAGCTTGAGCCAGTAATGTCATTTGGGCTCGAGAACTCCAAGGATGCACAGTTCGACATGCCAATCACACGAAAGTCATTTATCTTCCATTGCTTCAATTTGACTGCTGCTATTCCTTCCCCAGACCCGAAGGTAGATAGGAATCTGCTGGAGTTCTATTTGGAGTTTGCTCAACCCCAGTACTTGACCTCGAGTTTGAAGAAGATTACAACTGTCAAGGTTTTAAAGCCCTACTCAACGGGGAAGTTTGTTAACGTTCAATTCAAAGTGACTCGAGGCACCAAAGGCTCGGTTCACAACTTCACCCTGGCTGATCTACCAAACCTTAATCCCTACGACTAGATACTCCTCAATAATATTTTACTGTCAAATCCACAGGAGTACCAACAAATAATTGACCATGTCAAGCGAATGCTTGTGTGCTACATTCATGAGGTAGCGAAGATGGACCAGGAGATTGCCTCTGCCATTCACAAGCAAACCACGATCAAGGCTATGGGCAATGCAGGTAATGTCAACACTATGGTCAAGGGGAAGATTGATACCAATTACCAAATTGTTATGATCCTCAGGTGCGTAGGTCAGAAATGTCTATTCGCTCTCGTTGACAAACACCTCTTCTCAACATCATGTCTGGAGCATATCTTAGAGATTATTCAGAGGTGTGATTAGAACAGTTCAGCTGGCAAGAAATTGTTCACTGATATGCTGAGATGGTATATCCAGTTTTGGCAAACACTTCTTGCAATAATCCCTCGGCTGTTCAAAGTAATAAATACCGTGAAGCCAACACAGAAGAAATAATCTCTCGCCTCATTAGATTGCGTCATGGGCTCAGTCCTTAGCCCAGTTTTGATTGCCGGTATTGGGCCTATCCAACCGTGCATATTTTGGTTCTAGGGTTTAGTATATAAGCTGCATGTATGCAGTCTTTGTAGTAAACACTTTCATAATTTTTCTCTTTGAGTTTTTTAAACCCTAGATCGCCTCTACAGTGGAAGTTCTTCGTCGAGCTCTACTGAGGCGTGACTTTATTGAAGCATAAGCATACATTTGATTCTATTCTGCATTCATTCATTTACTGTATTTGTCTTGTTTGATTTTCATAATCATACCTGTGAATGATCTAATCGATCTAGAGTTTAATTCTCATCAAAAATACTTATACAAAGCATTCATTTAGACTTTGAAGGAGTCATTACATGTACCTTTTTAAGTATGAAAATTACTTATACAAAGCATTCATTTAGACTTTGAAGGAGTCATGACAAGTGCATTTTTAAGTATGGAAATTACTTATACAAAGCATTCATTTAGACTTTTAAGGAGTCATTACAAGTACATTTTTAAGTATGGAAATTACTTATATAAAGGATATATTTTGACTTTCAAGGAATTATTCCAAGTACATTTTAAAAGCATGAATTTACTCATATCAAAATACATGTTTGGCTTTTAAAGACTCTTTGCAAATACTATTTTTGACTGATGTTATATATATAAAGATAATACTTTTTTTGGACTTTTTAAAAGTATTACTTCATTAGCAGAATACTGTGACTCTCACCAACCTCGTGTTGGCTTTCAAAATACATGTATTCTCATGGCACAAGCGAATTCAGTCGAATGATATTCAGGAATCTCAGGCGATTTCGTTTACTACTTTTTATTACTTTCGCCTACCTGTTTAAGGCAACTACTATATTATCTAGTAAGAACCCTGTATTCGAATTTTTTGATGAAATAAGAATGTTGTTTTGTTTATTGTTGTACTTGTGCTGTATATTCAATTTATCTGTGATCCATGAACTTAGTCGCACAACCCGGTATGTTCCGCCTCGGCCGGGGGTGTGACAGCCGATCTCTTCGTACTCTTTTTACATTCTAAAATTATTTACGCGGTTGATTTTTATATGTGATAAAAATCATCTCTTCCATACGAAGTTGGATTTTTACGAAGTTTATAGTTTTGGAATCGCACCGTCGTTTACTTTCCGAATATGTTAAAAATCTATATATGATGACACGACTTTTGCATACTTATTTTCGAGCGTTTTAGCCTAAATTGTCATATTTTATTAATATGTATTGACGGAATTGCGTATACATACTAATATATTACAAATGTTAAATTCTTATCCTGTTACACTTCTTCATTCTTAACGGTGGCCAGTGACACATTTTCTTTAGTTGTCACATTCTCTCTCTGTTGAAGGAATTTCGTCCTTAAATTTAACTTGCAGTCGGGAAGTTATCGAATAAATGAGGATACTTGCTTTTCATTTGATTTTCCCATTCCAAAGAATATTATGGTCCACGTTGGAAATATTTTTATGTGATTGTCACTTGAGATAAGTTAAGTATTGATTTACATTTTCTAATAAACATTATCAGAATGTTTCAAGTTGAAAAGATCCTGAAGATTCAACAAGTGTTTGAAGAATTAGATGTTGGAGTACTTGAAGCTTACATGGAGCACCTGCTGTTGACATGGCGCGCTTGAAGAAAGCATGTTGGATCATCATGATCTCATATAAGACATCTACATCATATGCGGAGCATCAAGATATTGGTGAATCATTTGGAATATTGATGGCTCATCAGAAACATTGTTGGCTCATCCACAACTCTATGGATCAACAAGAGTTGATGGCTCAACATGAATTAGTGGTGGCTTAACTCAAGTCGATGGATCAACATGATCACATTGATGGCTCAACAAGGTTGCACATAGCTCATCATGTACAATGAAGGCACGTCAAAATGATCAAAGGCACATAAATTTCATCCATAGTCTATCTTAAACAAGGAGTTGTACATTTTCAAGTCCAAGAAACATTTCAATGTTCAAGAAACATCGCAACTTGGTCAACAACACTTCTGGAAGTTGATGGAGTCTAAGAAGACAATTGAGCAACATGATGCTCATGTTGCTCATCACATTGTCAATGTTGATCAAGAAGGCTCAAGAATTATGAAGACTTATAACTTGGATGGAACCCTAATGAAATACTAACCAAATTGGAATATTCCATCCATTCTCCGTTAATTAGGGAAAATGTGTCAATTGATGACTAAGTCATGATGACGTGTCAACACCTGATTGGTCAAGCCATGTCATGGGCTTTTCCAAAGCCTATAAATAGGACCCTTGGAATCCATTATAAAGTTGCTCTTTTCTGATCATTCCTGCTTATTCTGCACAATTGTTGCTTAGACTAGTCTTCAGAGAGCCACTTGATAGTTTTTAGTGTGTTTTACATTCAAAAACTTGTAATTGAATCCTCATGAATATGAGACACATTTGAATCATTGATCTTAAGTCTAAAAAACGTTGTTATATTAATTTGATTGATTCACAACTCTTTATTTTCCGCACTACTTGTCAGTTGACGATTCTGAAACTATATTTCAGTATTTTCAACACTTAGACTATTATAGTCTAGGTTTATTGAATTCTTCTCATTTCTTCAGTCCTCATTTAGAGTTCCACCGTACCTTAACAGTGGGAATGCGGCTCTGCTTAAGCCTTTTTACTTCTTGATCAAAGATATCGATTGGTTCCTCGACGATGTTAAGTTTCATATTAACCTGAATTTCATCCAAAGGAATGATAAGTGTTTCAGGTTTGACACATCAAAGACGTCGTGAACGTTGTTGAGTTCTTGGGGAAACTTGTGATGGTAAGCTACTAGATTGACCCTTCTAAGGATCTCGAAAGGTCTTATGTACCTTGGATTAAGTTTAACTTCTAGTATTGTAAGAGAACTCAATCAAGGGTAGATAAGTATCCCATGCACTTCCAAAATCTATCACACATGCATTGAAGATATCCTATAGTATATAGAACTAGCGGATGAGCCCCTCAAGTGTCGCAATATGTTGGTTTCTCTGGAATATGAGGGTAAGGTTCTTTTTGTCATTTTTTAAAATTTTGGTGTAACTCGTTTATTAATTTGTATGACCATCGAGGGGGTTTTTACCAATTTGGTTTATTACACTAGAGTTTTTTGACTCTAAGTTTAGCAGGATTCTTACTGTTAGATCCATTAATCAGATCACTAGAATTCCGATAAAAAGAACTTTCTAGTTCACTACCCTGTAATTGTACTTGCTCCCCTGGCAATAATATATTATTGTTCAGGCATTTGCTATCTTCACATCTAGTGGCCAATCTAGCTCCCCTGGAGCTCCTACAAATCGCTTGCTGAGCACGAGCGACACAAAAGATCGGGTGGCACGCGAATCAAACAGAAACGAAACTAATATACCATTCATTAAGAAAGATCCTATAACAAAACATATAAACATAAGCAACCATCAATATCAATAAAGAGATAAGGGAAAGATACATACCCGTCACCACATCAGGATCTACTCGTGCCTCCTCTGCAGTAAGCTGAAAATCCCTGCTCCGCACCGTAGGTGCCTTAGCCCGGCCCTAACGGCCATCTCTAATCCTCAATGTGGTAGGAGAATGTGCTGCCACCTTCCCTGCTGCTACTAAACTCGGGCATTGTGACCGCTTGTGTCCCCTCTTATTGCATTAAAAGAAAATTAGATCTGATGATGTCGTGGTGGTGTTGGTGGTAGCGCGTGTACAATGTTGGCTCACATGACCAGTTCGGCTGCACTTGTAGTAGCCCGAACTCCCCGCCTTGCATGTTACCTCGTGCATGCTACCACATTTTCCACAACGGTCGTGGCTCTGCTGGCTCCGAGATCTGTGATCTAATACCTTGGGCTTCTTGCCTAAAATCCCTGACTGACACCCCTCTTGTTTCCTCTTCCTCTCCATCTCTGAATCCAACTCTCTCTCTCTCTCTATATCTCTCTCTCTCTCTCTCTCTCTCTCTCTCTCCCCTAGCAATCATGTCCTCCAGCGTATTGCAGCTGGAGTGGCTCAAAAACTGGTGGATATCACTCAACAACATCTCATGATACCGGGCCTTTTTCATCTCCTCGTCTGCCACGTATTGCGGAACGAGAAGGGCCCTCTTCCT